ATACTGTAGAATTTTTTTTAAATAATGATTTTAACTTTATTTATTAATTAATTTGTTTTTAATTTGACCAAAGAGGGACAGAGTGAGAAAGAGAGAGGGAGAAAGTGAGAAAGCAAGCCACCAGGTCTGGGATTCAGTCTGTCATGTGGGAGTCTGACGCCTTTAACCACCATGCCATCTGCTGGCCCCACATTGTAGAATATTTTTGACAGGGGAAATATACTTGATATATGGCTATGTGAAAACTGCAAGATTCAAAATATTAGTACAGGGACCAGCAGGTGGCATGGTCGTTAAGGGTGTTGGACTCCCACCTGGCCAACTGCGGCTGGAGTTCCAGACCTGGCAATTTGCTTTCTCACCTTCTTCTCCTTCTCATTTTGTCCGTCTCTGGTCAAATTTAAACAAATAAATAAATAAATAAAGTTAAATAAGTAATTCTTTAAAACAAAACAAAACAAAACAAATAAAAATATTAGTACGATATAATGCCATTTTTGAGAAATATAATATCTGCCTTTTTAAAAAATAGCTTTTGCAATAGGGTACAGGCATTTGCCTGAGACAGAAAGAGAGAGAAAGGGAGACAGAGGGAGGGAAAGTGGGAAAGCACCCCTTGGGAGTGGTGGCCATGCTGCAATCTCTTCTTCTCCATTATCCTCTCAGGATTTCAGACACATGCAGCCACTGGTCTGGGACTTGAACTATGCAGTTAGCCATGTGGCATCCAGCTGCTTTAACTACTACACCACCGGCTGGCCTAATATTTGCTTTCCAAAAGGGCATATACTAACTAATATTTATCAACAGTACGTATTTTGGGTAGTGGGATTATGGATATTTTTACTTTGTGTTTCTGAGTTAACCCCATTTTCTTCATTGAGCATGTCTTTACTTTGTAGTTAGACAAAATATATCATTTAAAAATACTCTCCTAGTCAACAAATTCCCTTTTAACACCCGTAGTCTCTGCTTTCTTTCTTTCTTATCCTTCGTTCACTTTCTTTTTTTCCCCTTTTTTAATTAAAAAAATTTATCACCCTCACTATTATTAGTTTGACCAGAGAAAGAGAGAGAGAAGGAAAGTGAGAAAGCAAGTCACCAGATCCAGGACTCAAACCGCAATTAGCCACGTGGGAGTCCAGGATCTTACCCACCAAGCCCCTGCTGGCCCCACTTCACTGACTTTCCTGTCCTCAGCCCCAACCTGTCCATTGCCCAGAATGGCTTAACTAATAATTCAACCATGATACTCCAGAATCAAAAATCTGAAGCCTTGGGCCAGCCAGTGGCAAGATGGCTAAGGATCTCACATGGCTGAGTGGTTCCAGTCCTGGACCTATGGCTTGAAAAATACGCCAGGCACATGTGCATGCATGCCTAAGACCTGTGGTGTCCATCCCACCTGGAGGGTGCTTTCTTACCTTTTCTCCCTCTCTCAGTCTCTTTCTCTGTCTCTCTCTAGTGAGTGCACACACCCTATGGAAACTAAAAACAACAACAACAATAACAAAAAACACCTGAAGTTTTATGTCCACATTACTTAACACAGCTTGAAAGGTCCTTCTTAGTCTTCAGAATTCTGTCTTACCACAGAACTAACCTCTGCTTCTGCTCCAGTACTCTTAGGTCCTGGTGGGACCCCACTTCCAGAATGAAAAGTCCTTTTCTCAGGACTTCCTTCTGTTGGATGGCTTTTTTCTCTAGATCACTCAGTGGATCTGCCCTACCAGCCTGGGTCCAGGAGTGATTTCTCTTTCTGAATCTCCTATTAGCACATGTCTCTACTGATGCGTGTTCCACACTGGACGACCCTCCTTTGTTTACTTGTTTTCTGTAAGCTCAAGGCAGCCTGACCCTTTCTTTTTATATCTTGAGTGTCTACATGTGAAGATACTCAAAAAAATTTTGTTGGGTACACACGGATAAATTCTCTGTAAGGCAGAGGTACGATTTCGACTTAGATCTCCTCTTTTTGTGAAAGCTACACAGACCCACTTGGCCACCCATGTTCAAGCACAGACAAGACACACCGACAGAAGATTATGATACACATGCATAAAGACATGTCTTTAGGATAGTTTCTGGCCTAGTCTACAGACAGCCTCAAGGCGTGTGCACTTTCTGATCACTCAGCCTGGAAATTTTCAGTTCTTTCAGCTTTTCACATGGCTAGTTCGCACTCATCTTTCCAGTCTCAGCTCAATGTCAGGATAAAAAATCTGAGAAAAAGATATTTCCCATGATCTCTCTATCTAAATAGTTCTCTCTTTCCATTTCCATTACTCTGTTTATTTCCTTTACAGCATTTTGGACAATTTATAAAACTCTGGTTTATTTCTTGTTTATTATCTGTCTCTCCCTGGTGTAACCCATGAGGGCAGATCGCATACTATTTTACTATCTGTCTCATACCATACCCTATTATAAATTCCGAGCCTAGACATGTTAATAAAACACACACATACACAAAGTTACAAATAATTACAAACACATAACAATGGCCACACATTGCCAGTCATCCAGACATGTAAGGTCATACATTCTGGAGTAACCCTTCCCACCATTCTTCACTTACCGGGGTCACATACTTGTTGGCCTCCCAGGCCCACAGAGGTGGGTCCTTATAGACTTCCTTGATGGAGGTAGGAGCCCTGTAGGAGTCAGTATAGGTGCTGATAGGGGTCTTGGTCTTACGGGAGAACAGAAACATGGTGGGCTCTACCTACCAAGGGCTCCTGCTGGACATCAGTGACCACCCCTCCCCTAGATGGCCCTACCTTCAGCCCGGAAGGTGGCCCTAGAGGCTGTGACCCACTATTGTGGAGGATCCTTTAACTCCCCTCTCCCACGGCCCTCCTGATCCTACCCCCACCCTGCTACCCCCTGCAGGATGGGCACTGCCCATTATGATATCACCTGGCTCATCCTCATCTTTGGGGAGGAGAGGAAAATTAATTCTCTCCCTACTTGCCAGCCCCCTTCTGCCTCAAGCTCTCAAAAGATCCCAATTTTTAAGAGTGTATAAGGCTGCTAGAGACTTTCTAGCTCAAACTTCTCACTTTGTTGAAGACTAACAGGGGTTCTGAGGGTTGTGACTCACCCAGGGTCATGAAGCAGGTCCATGGCATGCTTGGGAACCCACAGGTGGAGAAAGAGTGACTTGTACATCCAGATCATTTCTCTCCCCTTTCCAGCCCACTTGCCCCTTGCCCACACCCCAGGTAGAGAGCTGAGGCTGGCTTGTTTGATGCTTTTAATATTATTTGTGTTACACGATACACAACCAAGGATGATGGTCAATACTGCGATGGAAATGTTAAAAAAAAATATTATACACGGCTCATGTCTTCCACACACCTTCCTGGAAATAAATTAGTGAGCGCGGAGAAACCTGGCTGGGTGGCAGCCACAGCTGAGGGTGGAGGGAGTGTTAAGGCAGTATCTACAAGGGGGAAAGTGGCAGAGGGGCACGCTAAGGCCTTGATTCTTCCCTTCCAACCCCCCCAGACAGAGAAGGAGGGAACCATACACTCTGCCTAGACACAGAAGCTGTTGGCTGCCAGCTTCCTACCTCTTTCTGCCACATATGCATGGCTTCAGTCAGAAGCCATTGCCTGACAGGGAACTAGTATATCCTGTGGGGAGAGAACTTTTCCCTGGCTCCTCAAGGCCACAGAGATTGAGCAATGGGCCAGAATCACTCAGCAAGTCAGTAGCAAAGGCAGCAGTCTAAATAAACCTCCCAAAGAGGGGTACCCAGGTTCCAAAAGGGTGAGTCAAGAAACCCACGGTGGTGGTGGTGGTGGTGGGAGGCCTGGCTCTGGAGCCAAGATGACTGGGGGTGGGGATGCTGACTAGGGTGAGAGAGATGGATTCAGATGGGTGCCTCGTGGCTCTGCACTTACCTTCTCTGTCCTTGCCTCCCTTAGCATTTTCACATCATCCTGCTCTAGAGGAGGTAGGCATGGGTTGGAGGAGTAGGGGGTTAAGAGCTGCACCCCAACTCTTTGGAGTTGGCACCTCCTGGGTGTGGTGCAGGGAGAGGTGCTACCCTTCCTAAGCCAGCAGCCTCACTCCCTCCTCTCACTACTCCCCCTTCCAGCTCCTACTCCCAGAACTGGTGTCCAGAGCTTGCAGCATGTGAGTGGTATCCATGCGAACACATGCACCAGCACACGTGGAGTGTCAGCATGGAGGAATGGGGAAGTGAACACTTTGGCCCCGTAATATGAGCTTTTTGGGGTTTTAAGTCTGAGCAGTCTGTTTTCAGTTTTCTCCAGATAGGGGCAGGTCTATATTGCTCAGTGCCAGGAGAGGGCCTTCTTTACCTCTTCCCTCTTGACTTTCATGCTCGGTTTTCCTGTCCCCACTCTCAGACCAGTAACAGCAGCAGAAGCAGTAGTACACACATTCTGATCCACAGACATCCCTGACAGCTATACACACAATAAACACCCACACACATACATATTCACACACACACACACACACATACACACATTTCTAAACAGATCTACATGTACTCAATATACATGTCCTGATAGAAACTCCCTCTTCCCCTTTCCACCAGTCAGGAAGCCCCCTGGGAATCCTCAAAGACACACAGTAATCTCCCCATACCCTCCACCAAAATTCCAAAGACAACATTCCTTCCGGTATGAAGGGACCTTAAAAATAATTTCAGCTGCTATTCATCCTCTTCCCTCTTGACTTTCATGCTCGGTTTTCCTGTCCCCACTCTCAGACCAGTAACAGCAGCAGAAGCAGTAGTACACACATTCTGATCCACAGACATCCCTGACAGCTATACACACAATACACCCACACACATACATATTCACACACACACACACACACATACACACATTTCTAAACAGATCTACATGTACTCAATATACATGTCCTGATAGAAACTCCCTCTTCCCCTTTCCACCAGTCAGGAAGCCCCCTGGGAATCCTCAAAGACACACAGTAATCTCCCCATACCCTCCACCAAAATTCCAAAGACAACATTCCTTCCGGTATGAAGGGACCTTAAAAATAATTTCAGCTGCTATTCATTTTATAGTTCAGGCAGCTGAAGCTCAGAGAAAGCAGGCAGCTTTTCGAAGAACACAGGGAGAGCAGCAGAGCTAGGACCAGAACCCAGCTCAGACTCCCAGTCCAGGGCCTAAGCACACTGTACTGTGGATCAGCCTCTCTCACAGGAAACAGACCACAGTCACCTCCCCACCATGGACACCCACTCTATGACAGGAATAGATACCTAGAGAGACAGGTCCAACACAGAGATGCAGACGCACTCTGACAGGCTCAGACCCCCACACATTCTGCCTGCCACATTCTTCCTGCCATATACATGCAGACACTCAGCCCACTGTGTTCTCCTGAGCTTGCGTTCTTAAAGATTCTTACTGAGAAACAGCCTCCCAGATCTTGGGCTGATGTGAGATGGGAGAGGGACATTTCCATTCTCTTCCATTAGAGGCTGGCCTTATCTCTGTTTATAGCCTGGGACAGAAACCAATGAATAGAAGGACTGGTAGTGTGGAAGGGGTATGGGAGTGGGGTGGCAGAAATATACATTGGTTAAGGACCAGTGAGGATAGATCTTAACACTCCGAAGTCTGGCCTATCTCTAAGGCCCATCTTATCCACCCCCACACCCAGAGAGCAAAGAAGAAAGTGAATGGGGCAAAGAGGAGGAAGAAGGCAGTGATCCAATGGATGTGGGCGGTGGGGGGGTCATTAACCTCTCAGGCAGCTTTGCCAGGCTTCCCATCTGGAGATGAGGGGACAACGTAAATAGGTACATGGTCCGGCAGGGGGTGCATGAAAGGGGCTCTGAGGTGCTAGGACTTGCCCCCACTGCCCTGGGCCTTTCTCTCTCTGAGCCCCTTTCCTAGTTAGGCTGGGGTTGTGGGGGTTCATGGCTTCACTGGGGTGGGGCTAAGCCCCTGGCTTTGTGATCCCTCCCTCACTCATTACATTTGGCCTCCTTGCCATCCCTCCATCTCCCATCAGACTGCAGCCTTGGGGAGGGGGGGAGGATGTTGGGTGAAGTCCCCCAAGTAACTGAACAAACAGCTCCCACCCCTCCTCAGCCCCCGGGGTGGAGAGAGACCCGGTTTTGGTTTCTCCGGCTCCATGAACACACAGAGGTACACGTCCTACCATAGGAGGAAGCAATGACTGTTACGAGGTTGGCGGCTCTTGGGGGCGCAGGGCCTGGGGGCAGGTGCAGGAGCTGGAGAGGGGTTGGCCCCTGCCCAGTCCAACCTGGCCCGCAGAGGCCCCACCTTGGCGGCCGCGGTGGTCCCGCCCGCTACTGAATATGGCAGGCGGTGGAGGACGTAGCCTGGCAGCACATGCAGGTGGGGTTCACGGATTTGGGGGGGATGAGGTCTAGGTCCTCGTCGTCGGGGATCTCATCTAACCGGTAGCCGTCCTTCAGCAGCTGGATGTTCAAATCTTGGTTGATCTGCTGTAGACAAAGGGGAGGGAGGTTAGGCTCAGGGTAGCCTGGAGGCCCCACTCATGGCTCTGTCAGCAATCCCTATCAGGTCGGGTCAGTCAGCAGCAGCCTTCCCTCACAGGTCTCTCCTCAACCCCACACCCCTCCCCTGCCTAGGACCCATCCTCCACTCTGACCTCACTTCTTTATGGGCATATCTTCTTGAGGCCCTGGCTAGCTGCAGACCCTTCCCCATTCTGAGGTCAACTTTTCACATCTGCCCGTTTCTGTTTTGGTTTTCTCTATTTCAGGCCAGCTCCTATAACATACCAACTGCATTTCACACCCCATTCTATTCAAGAGCCCTGCTCCAACCTCAACCCCTGCCCCTAACCCTGGGCTGCCCCCACTGGAGGCCAGGGACTTCTTTCAACCTCTCTGCCCCGCCCCCTTCCAGTTCAGCCTCCAAAGGTTCCTCCCCCAGCTCCACAACTTTTCCAGTTCTGTCTCTCAGAGTATGAGCCACTCTCCAGCTGGCTTGCACCTTCTCCTTGGTAGAAATGGTCCTGCTTGCATATGTCTAGGGCAGGAAGGGCTGGGGCCTCACCTCAGCAGAGGAGTAGCCGGAGGAGGAGTATCTGGACATGTCAAAGTCATCATCGCTGGCCATGGAGAAGAGGACAGAGAGGAAGTGATTCAGGGAAATTAAATAGAAAACTTCCTGCACAACCCACCTCCAGTAAGTCAATACACATCCCTGCCCCATATTCCAAATAAACAGCATGATCTAAATAACAACTGCTTGTTGTGTAAATACAGGTTTTAAAAGAGATTCCCTAGCCCCACCCTGCTAAATAAATTGCTATTCTTAACTTTCTTCTAAATAGAGCTGCTACTCCCTTCATCCTCCTGGCCCCCCCCCCTTTTTTTTGTCTAGGCTTAAATAACCCTGTCTTGGGTTTTCCCAAAGTCCAGGTCTAGCCAGGTATTCCAGGAATAGGGCTATTCCTTTAGAAGGGGCAGGGCATTATGCATCATCACATCCCGCTGTCATTGACAACATCAGGAGCCATTAGGGGCAGCCATTGGATTGTTGTTCCAGAGCAGGAGCAGACTTCAGCTGATTCCCCTCTCCTCTCTCTGCCCACATCACCTTCCACAAAAATTTTTATTCCCTGGGGAATCCACTCTTATAGATCCTGGCTGACAATATAGCAGGTGTGGCCAGTACAGCCCACTTGTGTTCACAGTTTTCTGTGGTTGCCTATTTGTCCCCAGACTCACATACACACCTGTCCGTGTCAAGAGCAACCAGTGGCTTCTCATCTGGGCTCTGGTCAAGCGAGGAGTAGCCTTTATTGGGGACGACCAGCCTGGGAGAAGAGTTTGGGGGGTTGGAATTGCAATTGGAACACATGAACCTGGCAAGGGACCGAGTTGGGTCTACTATTCCCTCCCTTCCTCCCCACATAGGATCCTGTTGAAGTTCTCCCCTCTCAGAGAAGAGTTGGGCCTTATGAGGGAGGGAAGTGGGGGGGGCTCAGAAACAGCAGGGCTAGATGATGGGTGGCAGGGTCCAGATAGGGTAGATAGGGCCTCTACCTCGTCCGGGCCATGACATTGTTCTTCTTGGGTTGCTGGTTGACAGGGCTACCCATGCTGCCATTCTTCAGAGAGCCCTTCCGGGCCAGCTCCCGCTGCTTCTCTGCAGGGGAACATGGGAAGGAAGCTGTGTCCTGCCTAAAAGGCCACCCTGCCTTACCATTCAGGGCAGCCTGAGCTGGGCCTCCATTGTGAAACCCCTCACTTCTCTAGGGACTGAGACAGGGATCCCAACTCCAGGAATCTGCTGCTTGGTGGAGACAACGCTCAGCCTAGCACCACCTGAGGCAGTAGAGGAGAAAAGGAAGAGGCTGACCTCTGTCTTCCAGGAGCCACAGTTCCCATGTGGGGCAATTAGTGGACTCTTGATGTCAAGGAAAGACAAGAAAGGGCGAGATGATCATAGAAGGATGGAGCAGTCAGGGTCAGTTCTATAGGTGACAGGCTGAGCTGAAGAGAGAAGGGCATTATAGGAAGGAGGGAGAGTATGGACATAAATGTAGTCAGAAGTGTATATAAGCAGGGAGCTGAATGGAATGGAGGAGTGAAGAGGAAGAAAAGTTAGGTTGGAAAAGTAGGGTCTATTTATTCAGTCACTTATTTATTCAGCAAAAATATTCTGTGTCACCAATCTTGAGTCAAGACCTATGTGAAAGGGCTGGAAGCTCCCTCTGGTTATAAACTCAGACCATGACCATGAAGTCCTTAAATGCCAGACTGAGGAGTTTGGGATTAATGTAGAAAGAAAAAAGGGGCCATGCCACTGGATGTTGCCAAGGACAACCAGTGGCTTCTCATCTGTGCTCTGGTCAAGCGAGTGCTCCAGAGCCTACCAGGTTCATGGGACTGGCCATCAGGTGACCCACTGCTGGTAACTGCAGTGGTCTCTGCTGGTAACGTAGCTGGATCCCACATGGCTGAGTACGTGGTTCAAGTCCTGGACCTGGCACCTTGAAAAATATGCTGGGAATGTGCATGTGCATATCCAAAATCTCAAAAGGAGAACAGAGGAGATGGGATTGTGGTATAGGCATCCCCTTGGGGGTGCTTTCTCACTTTCTCTCTCTCTTTCTCTCTCATTCCCACAGGTGAGTGCACATGCCCTCTAGCAAAACAAACAAACAAACAAAAAACCCTGACCTTCATGTCACTGAATCTCTCTTACCTTCCCTCTCTGACCCTGACTGGGACACTTCATCCGATTTCAGCTTTTTTCCCAGTCTCTTTCCAGCAGGTGGCAGCTGCTATTACCTCTGTAAGCCTCTAGGGGGTGCAATTGCCTTTAAGTTCTCGGTGGTGATCTTCTTTAGTGAGATCTGGATAAGGTGAATTTTTTTTTTTTTGGATAAGTTTTTTTTGCTATAGGGCACGTGCGCTCGCCAGAAAGCGAGAAATCACTCCCCAGGGGGGATGACCACGCCACAATCCCTTCTGCATTATCCTCTCGGGACCTTGGGCACGCACGCACGCACACGCGCCTGGTGTGAGTTTAAGCCATTGGGTCCGGGACTCAAATCGCAGTCGACTACATGGGAGTCCAACGACGTAGCCATTAAGCTAACTGCTGGTCCCTGGATAAGGTGAATTTTCATGAGGAGCGTTAGGAGTAATGTAATGTGGATTAAAAATATTTTATTTTAAAAGCATGATGAAACTGTTTAAAACATTGAGAAATTCAAACAATAAATTGACAAAAACCACACTATGGACTACTATGAGACCATTTAAAACAATGAAGTCATTCTCTATTCTGACATTGAAAGGTGCTCCAAGACATTCAAGAGGGGAGGGGAGGCAGGTTTCAGAAAATATATACAATATGATACCACTTGTGTTAAAATACAAATGAAAACCACACAAACTAAAAAAATCTTGAAATGTTACTTCTGGGGAGAATGTCATGGGAAAGAATAGAGTAGAACTTATACTTGTTAAAATACTTGTATTCTTTTCTTTTTTAAGAGGCTTTTGCCTTGGGGCATGTGTGCTCACCAGAGAGAGAAAGAGGCAGAGTCAGTGAGAGGGAAAGTGAGAAATCAGCCCCCAAGGGAATGGCCAGGCTGCAATACCTTTTCTTCCATTTTGGGCGCACACACACCCAGTGTGCGTTTCAAGTCACCAAGTTCTGGACTTGAACTGTGGTTGGTCATGTGGGAGTCCAGCGACATAATCACTATGCCATCTACTGGCCCCAAAATGCGTGATTGTTTGAACTGATGTCCTACAAAGAAGAATAAATTCCAATGAGAAAACTAGTCTCTTATTCAGAAACAGGTTGAGGGACTCCTTGGATGTGGTCTGAAGGGATAGAGCAAGGTATTACAAAGAAAAAAAGTTGAGTGAAAGAACAGGATTCTGTGGAAAAGAGTCCAGGCAAGTGAAATGGGAGAACTTTTAGATGGTTTAGAATAGGTGGAAAAGGGGGACCAGCAGATGGTGTAATGGTTATATATCTGGATTACCATATAGCCGACTGCGGTTTGAGTCCCGGATCTAGTGACTTGAAGGTCACACTGGGAATGTGTGGGCCCAACATCCTGAGAGGAGACTGGAGAAGAAGAGATTGTGGCGTGGCCATCCCCCTGGTAGGATGATCTCTCGCTTTCTGTTTCTCTTTCTGACAAGCGTATGTGCCCTGTAGCAAAAAACTCTCTCTCTAAAAAAAGAAAGAATAGATGGAAAAGGGCACTTAAGACTAAGGAGAGGTCCAGAATTTGTTGGGCAGCTGGAGCCTAAGGGGACAACATGAACAGGATGGCAGAGGAGGTTTTTCATTTAGAATTATTCATTTAATTTTTATTTATTATCACTGTTATTGTTTTAATTTCCACTAGGGCACATATGCTCACCAGAGAGGGACAGAGAGAAGGAGAGGGAAAGTGAGAAAGCAAGCCTCCAAGTCTGGGACCTGAACTGTGGTTGACAGTGTGGGAATCCAGCACCTTAACCACCACATCACCTGCTGCCCCCTGGCAGAGGAGTTTTAAAGGATGGAAATGACCTGTATTTAATGGTAAACTCTTTTCTGTATGCACTGTATCATAATTTCTCTTCATGAAATCAGAATTTTAGTAGAAGTCTATTGTATGTAGTAGTAGCCTTAGGTTCCACAAGGCAGTGGGGCAGGAGCTGTGTTCAGTGGCTGAATCAGGTGATTTAAAGGAGAAGGCTGCACAATGAGCTGACCTTGGAGTGAACATGAGATAAAGACCCCCATGGGAAAGGTGACCTGGAAAGACAGGGAGATATTAGGGTTTATCAAGAAACTAAGGGAAAGCCTTCTGAAACAGGACCTCCCAAGTCCTGAGAACAGGTGAAGGAGTTTGGGAATGAGGGGAGGGTCTCAGCTTCCTGGCCTTGGAATCCTCATTCCTTTCTGCCCTTCACACATAGCAACTAACACCCCACCTCTAAGGCAGTTTCCTCTTTAGGTCTGATCCAGTATTAAATAGGTCTTCTGAGTCCTCTTTTTGGAGTTCCATGATTTTACCCCTGCAGCTGTACCTGGAGCCTTATTGACTTCAGAGATGATTCCTAGAGTTTTGAGCTCCTATAGAGAGCTATCATTGCCTTCAGTGCCTTATAAGAAATAGGTGCCTGGTAGTGTCAATGACTTGGTGGCTTGGGTCTTGGAATTATCTAGCTTGAGATGGTTTGCTTGTGGCACCTCATTGCAGATGCAGCCCAGAGCACCTTGTCCATTCCCCACATCTCCCTCACCCCCCAGACACACTCACCCAGCTTCACTTGGAGCGGGGATGGTTTGTAATTCATGGCTACTGACTCACCCTCCCGGGCGTCACAGTCTCCGTCTGAGATAGAGGCAGCGGCTGGGTCCTGTGGAAAGAAGAGAGACAGCAGAATTGTTAGAAGTGGACAAAGGAGGCTGATCTTAGTCCCGAAGCTAACTTCTCACCTGCCCTCAGACTTCTGGGAGTATTCAGAGAAAGAAGACAGGACCATCTTCTACCCAAAGATTCTAAGCTGGGTAGAAGAACCAGAAATTTTGGGTGAAGAAGAACTTTCATCTAACTGGGTGTCTGTCTTCAAAATCATGTTTGTAAGTGATCTAGCCTCCTCTAGGAAGTCCATCATGATTTCCTTGAGCTTATGAGACTTCCTTCTCCAACTTTTATACTAGTTGCCCTGCTCCTTAGGCCCTCTCTGTTTACTGGTTTGGCAGGAAACCTTTCTAGGTTCCTGTGAGTTTAAGTCTGGATTAATGTCAGAGGCAGTTCTTCCCTGACATGGGACTTCTCCCTCTGCTTGCCCTAGTGCTGGACAAGTTCCTTCACGAGATCCAGAGAACTGGTGAAACCAGGCCATACTTCAAGGCTGCATCTACTAGATGAGAAAAGGTTCTAATGGGGACTTTTCCAATCACAGATGAGTCCTAAAGAGTGTCTTCTGGGAGAACATGAAAGGATGGCTGGTTGTGACAGGTCAGAAGACAAATAATGACAAATAAGCAGGTGGCCAGTTAGTCCTGTGCTGTCCAGAGTATGAAATGCTTGATACTACAGATGGCAAGGAGGGTGGGAAAGCAAAGCATGCATTCTGTGTTGTCCATCTCTCTCACCACTCTCCCCACTAACCACTTCCCATTTTGGTTAGGCCTAGTGCTGCTCAGAGTCCTTCTCTAGCCTTGACATTCCCTCTAAAACTCCCTCCTCTGCTGCAAGAACCAGGGCTCTGGCCCGCTCTGCCTTAGTCAGTTGAAAGGGGTTGAAGTCAGCTACATTTTCCTTGAGAAGCTGATGACCCATTGATATGGGTGCTGCTATTCTAGGTGTCTTTGCATTTTAACTGAGATTGCAGGGTAGAAAGCTTAAGGTAGGGTTGCAGAGGAGATCTAAGGCTGCTACCTTCTCTGCCTCTGGGAATGTAGAAGCAGCTAAGCATGTAGAATGCTCCAGGACTGGACCCACAGAGTCAGGCCAGGCATATGAGTAGCTGCTGGTGATCCAGCAAGGAGAGATATATAACACTTATGGTGACTTCTGTTCCCTTTATAGTGAAGCAGTGGGATGAAAACATGCTTGTCACTAAGGAGAAAGGGAGAAGTCTAAAATGCTTGAGAGAAAAATCCTGCCCTTGTGGGTGTTCCTTCAGGCTATCCAGAGGACAAGGTGGGTTGTGTTGTCACAGTGGTTTGAAAGTCCCTGCAGGCAGAACCTGGGTGCCTCTCCTCTGCTTTGATCCCCATGCCCATGCCCTGGCCATGGTTGAGGGGGAGAAGGGGAGCAGAGACTCTGTTGAAAGCTCGGGTTCTAGTGCCTGCCTCTCAGGCAGCTTCCCATGCTGCAAACCTTCCCAATCCTTCATCCTCACTGGCTCAGCAACCTCCTCAGGATACTCCTTAGAGACAGCACCTGCCCCCTATAGCCTTGAAGAAGCAGACCTGCAGTAGCTCACACACGCCTTTCTGTGGTCCAAACAGCTTCTTGGCTGCTTCCTGCAGGGGAGGTACAAACCCACAATGGGACTCTGCCTCTCTCCTCAGGCCACAGGGAGGGCTCACCCTAAAGTAGCCAGAGGGAGGGCTTTTCAAAGGGTGCCACTGGGATTCCACTGGGAAGCACTGGCATATTTCCAAATTCCTTAGTCACATTCCTGCAGTTTTTCTGTAACATTTGTTACAAGTCACATACCATATCCATTAGGATATAGTTTCTTCTCTTCCCTGGGGCTGATTTTTAAAAACAGAAGCCCTTGGGTTATGGGATTGACTTTTCACCCCTCAATGTAGGTAAGTTAATGGAGTTTCTTCTCTCAGGCTGGAGGTACTGGTGGTTGAGTGTCAAAGGCAACATGCGAGGTGGACTGTGCAGCAAGAACAGGGCTTGGTGTGGGGACTAGGAAGGTGCTGGCTGAGCAACTCTGGTCACAAGGACCCACATGTGGTCCTTGACGCTCATTGGGCAGTTCTGGTAATACCTGATCCTGAGTGAAACTGTCAAGTCTTTGGGCTATGAGCCAGGGTGCAAAGCATAGGCTGAGCAGTCCCAGGCAAAGTCCACCACTCAGCATCTCCTATCACTGTCCAGGATAAAAGGCCATCTTACTGGCAAGCAAAAAGATCTCTGGCACTGGGCCTACAAGCTCAAGTCTTATCATGGGCTTCCTGTATGTCTTGCCTGAGAAACATAGCCAATGCACCATAGCTATCACATGGCGATGTGATCAGGGAGATTAAATGTAAAATATTCATGAATGTAAGTATCAGGTAGAAGGAAGTGCCTGGCTCCAAGAAATCAGGGAGAATTTAAAATGTCCCCCAAGGACATCTGACAGGCGATAGCTAGATCCGGGAACCAAAGTGGGGATTAACAAGATTATTAATAAACACTCAGCAGAGACAGACATTGAAATGCATCTCTTACAGCAACCCATGTTTCTGCAACCTTTTAAACAAATTCTCCAAAGACTGTAGAGATGATTAATAGCCCAGTCTCACTGTTTCTGGGACAGGATATGTAGGCTAATGGCCAGTACAAAGCCAATATAGCCAGAGGAAGCAAAAGTGACAGAAGAATCCTTAGAGTTAGTCTGGTCTAGTGATTTTCATTAAACTGTGTTCCTTGAACCTTATGCCTTAGGCGGCACCGAGTGCAAGAGGGAGCAACAGGATGGGGGTCTGTTTTCTCTTTAACCAGAGTAGATTCACATTGAATTCATTTATGTATAGGTCTTTCTGCAAGATTTTGGTTGGAGAAAGGGTTTTATTGCTTTAAAAAAGGGAGAAAGAGGGATCAGAAGATGGTTACATTGTTGGACTCCCACATGGTCAACCGAAGTCTGAGTCTCGGACCCAGTGGCTTAAAAGTCATGCCAGGTGCCTGTGTGTGCATGCCCAAAATCCTGAGAAGAGAATGAAGAATAAGGGACTGTGGGGTGGCCACCCCCCTGGTGGTGATTTCTCCTTTTCTGTCTCTCTGTCTCTCTAGCAAGCGCACATGCCCTACAGCAAAAAAACAAACAAACAAACAAACAAAAAAACAAAACAACAACAACAACAACAAAACTCTCTAAAGAAAAGGTAGAGGGAAGGCTATAATCCATTGATTTAATCTAATCTGCTCTTCAAAAATGTTTTATTACGGAAAGTAGAGAAAACAACACAGTGAGATTGTGTTACCAACTTCAACAAATATCAATCCACTTTTTTTTTAAAAAAATTTATCTATTTACGGGACCAACAGTTAGCATAATGGCTATGTCGCTGGACTCCCACGTAGTCGACCGCGGTTTGCGTCCCGGACCCGGTGGCTTAAAACTCACGCCGGGTGTGTGTGCGTGCGTGCCCAAGATCCCAAGAGGAGAATGGAGGAGAAGGGATTGCGGCGTGGCCATCCCCCCTGGGGGGTGATTTCTCGCTTTCTGTCTCTCTGTCTCTCTCTGTCTGGCGAGTGCATGCACCCTATAGCAAAAACCTCTCAAAAAAAAAAAAGTTTATCTATTTACTTCTTAGAGAGAGAAACCACCCCCAACCTTCAGCTAGACCCAGGCCATGACACACATATACCCAGTACAACAAGGGAGACCTCTAGACACAAACCTGAACTCAGAACCCTCCTGTATGGGTCAGCCTCACAGAGTATGTCATGTATGTCAGCTGGGATGACAGATGTGCATTACCACAACTTGTTTCTTTTCTAGGTTTCCCAGGCCAAATCAATCTCTCAATCCTCCTGCCTTAAGCTCCCCTGGTCACTGGGATAACAGGTGCATACCACCATGCCTGGCCTTTAGGTACGGTCAGGAATTGAACCTGGGCCTTCCACATTCTCCATGCCTAGGGAGTATAGCATCTTAGCAGCATGACTACAACTCATTATTTTTAAAAATGAGAAAATATGGGCCTCAGTGGAAATTTTTTACTCAAGGTCAGTGATAGAATCAATGACCTTTTAAAGTATGTAGGTAGGGTCAAAAGGAAAGACAGCATTACTAGAACTTGGAGCTAGAGACAAACCCTTTGGGAGGTTGCTCTGCTCCTGCAGGCCCAAGTATGAGTCTACATGTTAATCTCCTCCCTGCTCCTGGGCTAAACTAGCTCACGAATTGTTTCTAGCTGGTTGGCCTTACTTGCTGGAGCTGTGGGCAGTGCAGTTGGTATGTAAGTAGGCTGGGACCCAAGAAACCTGCAGATGAGAAAAAATGGAATTGGATGAACAAAAAGGACAGACAGAGAAAATTCATAATAGAACATTAAAGGCTTATGCCTGAGGTGGTGGTGGGAGGGTGTTCTTAAGAGGGAAGGACTTGATGAAGTAGATGGAAGGGACTACTTTATTGAATGGCTTGCAGAGCTTTACAGGTTATTCTGGCATGACTCTTTGTGGCAAAATAGAAGACCTGTAGGAGGTTTTTTAGTTCCTAATGTAAGTCTTTAGATCCATGGGCTCAGCTGATTTTCACTAGTATTCAGTAGACATTGTGACCACCTACCCACCATTCAAATTATACCCCTCCTCCATTTGACAATAGCCATTTGTGGCTTGGGTGGGTTGACATCATCTCAGTATTAAGGAGATGCCCTGCCTAAAGAAGTATAATTCTCACTCCCATCTTTCTGTCACACAGGCTGGAAGGAGGATTGTGAAAGAAGGTTGTAATGGTTAAATGCATGCTCTCAATCCAAACTGTCTAGATTAGACTCCCAGCTCCTCCATTTACAGCTATGTGATCATGGCTCTACTTTCTTCACCTGTAAAATGGGATAAATACTAATACCTATGAATTAATGTCAATACCTATCAATACTAATACCTATGAAAATAAAATTAGTTAATATACATTAAGCACTCAGAACAGTACTTAATATAGCATACACT